AGATGTACCCTTGCTTGTTTTGAGCCCATATTAAAATTTTATAAACAATTTACTTTTTTATCTTTATGGAAATTCGGAAAGTTTTGCAGTTTCGGAAAAATAAGAAGTCGAATGTATAAATTTTGATAATATAGTAAAGTCAACAATAAAATTTATGTTAAAAATTTTGATTCGAAGAAATCATTCATTCTTTAATTAGTTTTATAAATGTTAAAATTATAGACTTATAGAATGAAGCTTGTATTTTTGTGCGTTTGTGTAATTAAAAAATGCTTGTGGTCTCACCTTTAAAGAGGCAAATAGATTTTTCGCAAAGATATAAAATTTGCTTATAAAATTTCAGCTTTCTATTCTAAAGGGTGTAAAAGTTTTGATCTGTAAACAGACCAATAAATCGACATATTAACAAATGGACAGAGTTAAGCCATTAAGCATTCATTTTTCTTATTTTGTTGTAAAGGTGCTCAAAATTTTTAAATTATCTTAGCTCAATGAAAATAACACAACGAAACAGACGGATTTTCTAATTATACCTGCATCAATGGCGTGTTTTTAGAGTTTCATAAATAAGATAAAATTGGATAGTTTCACATACTAGTCCTGCCGCAATGATTTGCTTGCAGTAATTAATTTTCCTCCAACAGCTTAAATTATTTAAAAATACTTTAAAAAAAATTAAACATATTCTATTTACTTTATCCTCTTTCAATGTTGCATACTTTTAGGAGAAAAAAAAATTAGCATGCTGCTGTACTTAGTAAATTGACATGTTATGAAAACGTCAGAATTTAATATCTTACCGTACAAATGAAAAAAAATAACAAAGAAACTAATTTAAAATCATTTCAACAAGTAAAGGCTTTTTGGACTCTAAAATTTTTTCCTGTTTTGACACAGTAAGTTACCAAAAACTATTATTTTAAAGTCTTTGAAATGCTTCAACTTTTAGAGGAAATAAGAAAATTTTTAAATTAATAAGTTTTACTAAATTTAATAGCATTTAGTCATAATAAAATAATGAAAGTAACCGTAACAAATTTTTAATGCTCGTAATGAATACTTGATACTTAATAGCATATTTCATTTATAATGAATTTTAACTAAACTGCATTAAAATAATTAAAATTTTGTCTCGTAATATTAATTTCAAAATATACTTGTATACAAATATTCATTATTTTTAAATATTATATGTTAAAATAATATCTAAATAATATAACAACAAAAATAAAATTTTATATATAATTACATAAGCTTCTCTATTATAAAAGTTCATATAATTTCATTTATTTAATGTCCTTATAGTTTATTATAATAATTATTATTTATATATATAATGAATTACAATATTAAGAGTATTAAAATTTTATTTTACTAATATATATATATATATATATATATATATAAACATACATTATTTAAAATATAAATAATATGCAATAATATTAAAAATAGATTTATTAATTAAAATACTTAAAACCCATAATATAATAACAAAATAAATATATTGTAGTTATTATAGTATATAAAGATAATATGTAAATATATTTTGAAAATTTTTCTAAAATAATAGAAATATAATAGTATTTTCTATATATATATATACATAATATATATATACTATTATTAATTGTCATAATCTCTTGTACTACTACTATTATTTTTATTATAAATATAAATATGTAATAATAATAATAATATTTTAATAAATATTTCTTTCAATATACATACGTGCATTTATGTATATATATATATATATATATTAATTATATAATTCAATATTGATATATATGCATAATTATTTCAAACTAATATATTGTATGTATTTATATATGTACACATAATATATAATGTGAATATCCTTTTTTTCCAATAATAAAAAATTCGATTATTCTCGATTCTATATATATATATATATATATATATATATATGTACGTATCATAAAACTTTAATTTTGAATTTAAACACATATTATATTAAACATTAATTTCAATTCGAATATCGGTAAATCGTTTTATATCTTTTATGTATGTATATATATTATATATGTATTATAAAATTTTGTATTCATACAATGTTATACTATATAATAACATGATATAGATATAATATGACATTCTTATATATTAAAATGTTATACAATATTTTATATTATAATATTGTATATTGTAAAATTACTATACTATAATATTCAAATATTTATTATCTTATATTTCCGGTAGAGTATTATTATTATTACAGTTTGTATATGATTTGTTAAAAGGAAAAAATTAAATCATATGAATCGAAAAATATTAACTTAAGAAATTGATCTCAATTTATTATTGGTTACAAAAATCATTTCAATAATAGAATATTAATATTATAACAGTACACACACTTGCATATACATAATATACTATTAACAATAATAGTACAAATTTTTTTAGAATACAAAAAAAAAATATTTTGTCTTTTTTTTTCCGATATTATTTAAATACCAGAAAATTTATTAACATTATTTAATTTGTACTGAAAAAAGATAACAAAAAACCAAAAACCAAAAAAAAAAAAAAAAAAACAAATTCTTTATTTTAATAAAAATCTCAACAAAAAAAAACAAAATAACAACAAACAAGTTGAGAAAATCAAAAAATCAGAAAAAAAAAACAAAAGCGTACAAATTTCAGATTCAATTTAAGATAAATTTAATTTTCTTCAAATCTAAGATAAAAAACGAGAAAAAAAGAAAATCGATATTTTTCATATATATCTATATATATATATATATACATGTACCGTTAGAAAATAAGAAGATAATCGAAAAGAGTATAAAAACCGAAATTCTTTTTATCTCAATATTCTCGCATGTTTTTTATATTCAAATAAATAAAATTGAGAAAAATTGTTAAGAGAGAATTTTATTATTATTTTCGCTCTTCTTTTTTTTTATTCTTTCTTTGTATAACAAAAATTTTCTCTTTAACTCATTTACTCATTTAAAAATTTTTTGAAAATTTCCCAATGTAGCATGAGGAATTTTTTCTGTTTTTTTTTTTTTTTTATTTTTTTTTTCTCTCTTACATGAAAATGTTTGTATGTCAAATGGAAAAATGAGAAAAAAAGAAATTTTCTTTTTGTTTTTTTTTCTTTCTTATTTTATTGTTGTTGTTTTTGTATTTAATACACAAATTCCATAATACTATTATATACAATTTTTGTTTTTTTTTTTGTTTGTTCTTGTTTTTCTTATTATTTTGCGAAATATCCGAATAATATACAAAATATTTTCTCTGAAGAAAAACTTTTTTTTTTTTTCAAAGTTAGTTATTTTGTGAAATTCGTTCAGATAAAATAATTTTTGTGTATGGTCTTCGGTTATGTTTACATTTAAAAAAAAATTCAAAACAAAAAAAAAAAAAAAATTTTAAGTGTTATTAGTTTGCTATACAATTATTCCATGTACATATATAAAAAAAAAATAAATAAATAAATAAAATATAAAAAAAATAATAATATTAAAATTAATGAAAAATTATTTTTAAATTAAAATTGCAAAGTAAATATAATATAATTAAAATATAAAATATTTATTAATGCAAAACGGCATATAAAAGCAACAATTTTTAAAGCATTTAATGATGAATTTTTGCATATTCAACTGCCCCCCGCCCCCTCTCCCTTCTTTAATTTCATATCCTTTTTAATTAATTTTTATTTTTATTCCTATATTGTATTTAATTTTTATTATTTTTAATATTTTTGTGAAAAAAACATATATATATATTTTGTCGGTCACAAAATAAGCAAAACCAAGAAGAATAAAAATTTGTAAAACAAAAAAAAAATTTCAACATTTATTAAACTTAAAAAAAAAAAAAATAATTAAATAATTTTTTTTTTCTGTTTTCCACTTACCCCCATATATTCTTGTATATTTTCCCCCCCCCACTTTACACTATACAAAAAAGAAAATAAAAAAAAAATAATCCGAAAGCACAAAAATTATGAAAAATTTGAATGAAAAAAAAAAAATAATGTAAAAAAAATATTTTGTAAATTCATTAAATACTAAATAAATATTTACTCAAAATTAAATAAAGAAAAAATTAAACAAAAAAAAGAAATTGAATAAAATTATTGTAGTATTTTTAATTATTAAAAAGTTCATACATTCAAAATGAAAAATTAAAAAAAGAAGGAAAAAAAAAATAGCAAATGAGAAAAAAATAAATGCATTCAATTTAAAATAAGGAAAAAAGAGAAAGAAAATTATTCAAAAAAAAAAAAAAATTCTTTTATTTCATTAAGTAAATAAAAAAAAATAAATGAATAAAATTGAAAATAATTTTTAATTTCATGCACTACAATTCTATAATTAAATATTATTAATAAAACATTTAAAAGAGGAAAAAAATAAAAACAAAACAACAAAAAAATAAAAAATTAAATAAAAACCAAATACAAAAGTAAAACCAAATTAATAATTCAAAAAAAAAAAAAAAATATAAACAAATAAAAAAGAAAAATTATTTTTAAAAATCTACAACAACAATAACAACAAAATTACTGAAAATAATAATAACAGTAATTATTATTTAACGTGCCAGAAAGTAAAAAATCAAAAAATAATAATAATAATAATATAAAAACCGGATTGTCAGACAAAAAAAAACAAGAAAAATAAAAATATTTTATTCGAAATATGGGCCACTGTAAGTGGCACTAATAATAATAAAACCCATATGTAAAATTATTATAACTCTTCTATAACCCTTCTATTATAACTCTTCCATCTGTAATAATAAAAATAATAACAGTATTGAAAATCAAATAACAAATAAATAGAGTAAAATAATAAGTAAAAATAATAATAAAATAAAATAAAATGCAAAAATAATGAAGAAAAAAAAAATTCGATATTAAAATTCAAGAATAATTCAAGAAAAAAATAGGATTCTTATATAGGATAATCAAAAACATACAAATTGAATATGTTTGAATTTATATATGTTTTATATACATATAGTTATACAAAATAGAGGAAGAGATAATAATATGGAGAATTATAACCATCATAGGATTATTATGTTTTATGAATAAAATTTTTGAAAAAAAAAAAAATTTTTACAACCAAGTAGGTAAAACCATACACTTCATTTTTTTAATATTCTAATTTTTTTTTTTTTAAATATATCTATTTACATAAATATTATTACTATATAGGCATATATATGCACATGATTAATATTAAAAGAAAATTTTACATACATATATTTTATATAATACGTTATGTATGGAGAAACACGCATAGTTTTCCTCTTTTTCTCATTTTTTCTCATTTTTTTCGTCATTATACTATCAAAACATGTACATAATATAAGTACGTGATTGTATATATACATATATATTTCATAAATAATATATCCGTCATATATCTACGATTTTCACTTAATATATATGTACATGTGAAATGTTTTGTTATATTATTAAAACATGTTTGCATATAGTCACATATGTATGTACGAGTACATGCTTAAGGATATTATTTTATGGTATGCAATATATTTACAATTTTCTATACGAAATAATTACAAACATATATATGTGTGAATAAAATATGCATATGTTATATTTAGTATAAAAATTCTAATATATGAGAAAAAAAAATTAAAATAATATAAAAAATTTAAGAAAATAAAAAAAAAAAAAATAAAATTACTATTATACGTGTATGTATAAAAGAAATGGAAATAAAAAAAAAAACACGTACTATATTTAAATGTACATATATATACATGTGGTGCATGTATATATGCACATTGATAACAATAATAATTATAATATAATATTTGAGTATATTTTGTATGTGCAATATTATAAGATTACACGAGAACAAAATAATAAGAATGACAAAAAAAAAGAGCATAAGGTGGACATTTTCATTTCAATTTTCTGTTATATTATTTTTCTTTTCCTGATGCATTTATAATATAATAAATTAAATATATATATATATATATACATACATATAATAATGGGATATTCACAATCACATTTTTTGAAAAAAAAAAAAAATAAAACAAAAAAAATTGAAAAAATTTTCTCTTATAAATTTATCTAAAATATCACAATAGAATATAACACAATATTATATATGAGTAGAATAAGATAGAAAACAATAGAACAAAAAAAAAAATTGAAAAAGTGTACTCATAGTAGCCTTATACTTTAAATACATGCGCTTTATTATTAAAAAAAAAAAAATTTGTATTTTTTTTTTTTTTTTGTAGCCTGATCGTGTACAAATTTTCATAAATCTTACACACAAACATTTCTCATTTATACGATATTATTGTGTACAGAACATATTTTTAAAATGTTAAAAAAAAAAAAAAAAAGTAAATTGTTTTATTTTTTTTCTATTTTTTTTTTATGTTGTTTGCTTCAATCTCTTCTAATTCAATTCTTTTTTTTATTTTTTTATATGAAAAATTCTTCTCTTCTCTGAAACATCATTTTGTCTTAACATTTTTTGTGTGTTTGTAGAAAAAAAATGGAAAAATATTATATTTTTTAATAATAATAACAATAATAATAATAATAAGTAAAAAAATGAAGAAGAAACAAAAAAAAACATAAAAACACGAGCACATAAATTTCATTTTTTCGTTTTTGTTTTCGGTTTTTTTTTTTTGTTAGCCCAAAATATAATAACCTGTTTGTTTGTATATATAAGTAGTATGTCTGTTAAAAAACAAAAAAAAAAACAAAAATGTTTATAAACCATTTAAGATGAAAAGATGAAAATTTTTCTATTGAATTTAAAATATATATATATATATATATATATATATATATGTATACCTATATGTAAAGGGAAAATATGTGTTATCGATATAACAACAATAACAATAAACCACGCGCTCTTTCCTCTTTCAATATAAAATAGAGTAAAACAACCGATAGCACATACAAACGAAAAAAAAACGAAACAAAACAAAAATATAAAAAAAAAATTGAAAATTTAATTTAATAGAACAAAAACAGAAAAACAGAAAAAAAACAAAAACAATAAATAAACAAGAAAAATTTGATTTTTTTTTTTTGTTCTTCTTCCTCTTTTCTCTTCTCTTGTTGTTTGCTTATTTATTCGTTTGTTTGTTTGTTCGCTTGTTTGCTAGTTTGTTTGTTTGTTTGTTTCTATGTTGCCTATCCTTTTCTCATTCCTTTCTCATTGACATTCGGAATTATTGTTTGGCAACCTTATAATATTTTCGGTTGATTGAAATTTTTGCTAACTTTTTGACAGTTTTTCTAACTTTGGTATTTTAAGAAATTTATAACACAAAACAAAAAAAAAAAATATTATACACACACTTTTTATTCTATACACACACGCACATAATATACACTCTTTTTTTTTTCAATTCAATAACGAAAAAAAAATAAAAAAAATAATAAAATAATATTTTTTATGTAAATGAAGAAAAACATTAGTAAAATATTTATTTTATATTAAAAAGAAATATGTTATTCTTTTATTGAAAATATTTGAAAAATATTTGAATGAATAGAAAAAAAAAAAAAAAGAATGATTGTTTGTTGGGTTGTGATGGGTTGGTTATTTGATTGGTTGCTGTTATTATTATTCTTTTGCGATGATGCCTGAGATGCCTTTTTTTTTTCGTCTAATTTTTTATTTTTTATTTGACTGAATTAAACGGAATGAATCCTTTTATATATTTTATATTTATTGTTGTTGTTTTTATTATCTTTAAATTTTCTTCAATTTTCTTCTTCTTCTTATTATTATTATTATTATTTTAATATCAAAATATATTTATACATGTATTTTGTGTGTACATAAAAAAAAAATTTTGTTAAAAATGTCAAACAACATCTGTTAATACTTACTTATGTCGATTAATTTTTCGAGAAGAAGAAAAATATACAATAATAATGGAAAAATATCGAAACAACAAAACAATAGAAGAAATTCGATTAAATCAAAAATATTCTCAAAATTAAGGTATATTGGCTGTAATGAGAGAATTATTAGAGAAAAATTGTTTGAAATAGAAAATTTCTATTTCTCTTCCATCAAAAACATGTTAATTTAGTAATTAATTTTCAAAAACATTAGATATTTAGAATTTCTGTTATACAAAATATTTTAATAAAAATAATGAAAATTTTTAACATTTTTTCTCTCAAAATATTTTTAAAATTCTCAAAATTTTATTTATTCTTTAAAATTTTTAAAATTAAAAATTAACTTCTATATATGTAAGGGCTAGAACAGTGTTCATAAATAATATAAATAATATTTTAAGTGATACATTCGCCCTCTATATCAAAAATGTTCTTTTCTTCTCTTAAGATTCTCTTCATATTCATATACATAAACGAGTATATAATAAATTATGATGTAAAATTAAAATATTTTTTTATTACAATGTTATATACATATTATATATATCTAAATATAATATTTACCTGTTCAATTCCAATAGCATTTCCAATAACAAATCAATATTCAAAATCATTTCCAGTTCATTTACATTATAAAGCAAAAGTCATTAAAATTTTCAAAATCATTACGTTGTAAAATAAGTGATTTTAGAAAAAAAAAACAAAATATGTACGTACACCTTTGTAATATTAGTACACTTCCTTTTGAGTACATACACATTTATTTCATATTTATGAATATATATGTATGTATATATGTATATACAAATATGTACAAGAAAATTTGAATTCAAATCAATTGCGAATCAAAAAGATGTAAAATTAAAATTTAATGTCAAATTTTTCGGGTTGAATTTTAATTATCGTGATAAAAATTGAGAAAGAAGAATTTTTATTTCAATTTTTTTTTTTTTGCAATGTAAACAGAAAATGATTTAAAAATTTAAATTAAATTCAGTAGAAATTTAAGAAGTAAGTAATAGCTATAATATTTAAGAATAGGCGAACGGATTAACACACGACCTATTGTTTTGTAATATAGTATAGTGGCCCGGTTATTAATATAAATCGCATTCTAGTTGTTGCAGTTATATATGAAAATTTTTATAATTAAAATGTGATCCCAACTATTTTTCATGATATTAAATGCCCTATTATTGCACTTGTTTCTTATATGTGCAGTTTTAAGTATTGTAACTTCAATAGTTTCTAAGATATGAAAATATATATATGCCGGATCTAATATACAAAGTAAAATTTTTTCCAACTCTTTCTGTTACATGTTTTCCAAAAAATTTTTCCATTCTATTTGCAACGAAATTGTTCCTGAATATACAAATATTGCGAAATAAAAAGTTGAAAGTTCAATTTCAGGCTTTAATTTTATTCTTGCAAATAGATTAGATTCTTACATTCTGCATGATAAAGTTACACGATTCTATGACTTACTATGCGCAATTTATTAGGTACCGGGCACACTGTTTGATAACGACGTAGAGTGCAAAGTAATTCAGAATCCCGCCCCTTATGTATTTATAAGTTTTGAAAACGTATGGCACCTTCCAAAGCCATTGCTTTACATTGAAATGAAGAAGGGTTTTGAAATTTACTATTATAAACAATTTACGATTATTTTATGAAATTGGTTCAATTATTTTTTGAGTTATAGGACCGAACAAACGGACGGAGACATGGCTTAATTCGCTTAAAACTCTGTTTTTATAGACAAATGACGTAACTGCCAGGCCTATATATCATTATTACTGAGTTTGCAGCATTATAAAACCAAACAGTAAATTTAGAATTACAATACAATTCCATTTTAATTCTCATTTTAATCAAACCCCCTAAAAATATGCAATTTTCATTAATTATTGTAAATTAACAATTGTTACTTATTAAAGATCGTAAATTAATTAAAGCAATTCAAATTAATAAAAATGTTGATTTTAAAAACAAAAATTAAAAATTCTAAAAATTCATTATTAATTAATATTACAAAAGAATATCAATAATTAAGTTGTGTATTATAGTAATCAATATGAAATATTTTCATTTACATTAAATTTAAAACCTATATACATAATATACATATATTGTATTAACAACTAACGATTTATAATTTATTTGTCATTTAAAATAATATTTAATTTCTCTCATTTAATTT